AATATAATATGCACATTATCGATGTTATATCTCCAACAAATTATTATCCAAAAAACAAGAAAGAAATCCTGAAAGGGGAGCATAAAGGTATGCAACCTTGCTATTTTGTGCAGTGGTCACTTCTTATCTTTTTCTAGAACCATATATTAAATATAGTGGAAGTGACGTGTGCTATTTATATGTAGTTTTCTATTCAATCTATATCTCAGGGCAGCAAAGAAATAAAATGAAAATAAAAGTAATTAGAGCTTACCAACAAGCCTTTGTTTGGAAACATCATTTGAGATGTTACTCCAGGTAATAGGGTGTGAGTTTTCATATATCTGGTTTTTAAAAACTCCCTGATTGTGCAGAGGATTCAAGAACGGGTGATCAAGGGAAATAAATTTCAAAGTTTTGTTGCGCCAAGTGGCAGTGTACGGGTTCAGTAACAAAGTTGGTCTTCTTTCTTTTCCTCAAAGGGATGATGCAATGGAGATGACCAAGCCATACAGCAGCGAGACTGCTGCGATCATTGACAGTGAAGTAAGAGAATGGGTAGCTAAGGCATATGACCGCACTTTACAGCTAATTGAGGAACATAAAGAGCATGTAGCACAAATTGCTGAATTGTTACTGGAGAAGGAGGTCTTACATCAAGAAGACTTGGTCCCAGTACTCGGTGATCGTCCCTTTAAGAGTAGTGAACCTACAAACTATGATAGGTTCAAGGAAGGGTTTTTAGAAGATACAGAAACTAAAGATACTCCTAATAGCAAGCCTGTACAGGATGAGGGATCACCACCACTGGATCCAGATATTGTTCCAGCATAATCACTTCAAGCTTGTTTCTGCAGGCAGATAGTATTGGACAGTACTAGAAAAAGAAATCAAAATCTTATTCATTATATCGTCTGATCTTGTCAAGTATTGTGTAACAAACATTCCCTCAATGCATTATGGTCTGCGAATGACTTGCACCGTTATGATTTATACACTGCCTGCTCCTGTTATTTGCATTTTTTACCAAAATGTGAAATTGATAACACCTGCAAATCAACTGATAAAATTCCAGCTTTGGATGACTTCATCACGCAATGCATCTTATTATTGGGATGATTAAATCCTTCTTGTTTGAGGTATGGAATGAATTTTTATCGAGATTCAATCCTTGAAAAGTACAAATATGAGTGTGAAGCTTGTGGTTTGATTAGGCCCATTTTCCATGTGTTAAGGTAAGGATCGTGGCCTTTGTTACTATTGCTGATACATTGCAATATGTTGAGCCTTGGAGACGTACTGCTGTGTTTATTGAGTCCATAACTAGGTTCAAAGTTGGGACTTTGAACGGCAATAATTGCAATATTTGGAATCTGTTTGTTTGTTGCAAATTTGTTAAGCTGATGCTCTGAATGCTTGTGAAATCTGATGATCGAAACTCTGGAAATTAATTTTTTGCTGGTGGTATTCCCAAATTACTATAGGTGTGGACACGCGATGAATATTTTCATCAAGTGTGGACTACTGAATGATCAATATATGAAATGAAGATTTATGTCATCAAGTGAAGGTGGTATTGATTGAGGTCAAATTAAGGAAATGGGCCAAATGGCGATTAAGAGGTTTAGACATGTAGTCTGAAGTTGATGCTATGTAATGATTTTCCAGTAAGTCTATCAAAGTCTATGTAACACTCATACCAAACATAATATCAGCCCACAGCAGTTTTGTCACAAGTCACGAAAATTGTGTCGTGTTTTCATGGAAGAATCCAGCAACTAAAATTGGAAATTATACATTGTTCCATTACCCAAAACAATTAAGAGAAAAAAGGACAAGAACCTGCTTATTGTAATTGTCCATCAGTCCATGCTTGAAACATATTCCGACATGATCAATATTTTATAGGAAATCTTCAATATATTGTAAGAACAAGTTGTTTATTTGAATACCAGTATCGAATTTCAAGTGACCGGTGACTTGGAAGTGCCTCAGAAGTGCATTTTCAGTAATTCTTTTGCTTCTTTTTTTTTTTTTTCCTTGTAAAAAGTTGGAACCTGTAAAACAGAATCAATTTATATTTCTCCGGACTTAGGAATCATGCATACTGAAATTAACTCAGGTAAGTCCATAAAATATAATAATATTTTGAAACAAGAAGCAATGCCCCCAAGTGAGAATCAATTGCTGCCAAAACTTGTGAGCAGAACTCCATAGAATTTAGCAGAAAGGGAGAATGCAACTCTAACATCAATACTGTCAATTTCTAATGTAAACTCAACCATCTCTGCAACTGTGATGCAGTCTGAAAGCAGAGATTCAGAGGATGCCATTTGCTCAGCTCAATCATCTCAACATCGCAATTGCAGGAAGCTTCTTTCAAGCAAATTAATGTCTTGTACTTGTTCAGGTGAGTGGTGACATAGAATCACTAGCAGCAGATAATTTAACTCAGAAGTAAGCCTAAACAGTCCATGCAAATGCATTGATAATATGTAGATAGATGCCTTCTGGAGTCTTGACTGAACAAGAGATTGACCACATACAAATTATTCTATATTTCAAAAAGGCGTAGCCAATGAGAACCAGGCTACTTTACCGGCCATGAGGCTCGACTATTGATCTACCCCCCATCTGCTCAAGAAACTTTGTCAGACGCAAATGCTTTGCAGCCCACTGGTCGGCCAGTTTCTGTTCTTTCGCTTCTGCTTCCCTCCTCAATCCTGCTAATTGTTCCTTATACTCAGCTTCAATGCAATCTAGAGCAGTCTTCTGCTCTTCTCTAAGAGCTCTTATCTTTGCTTCTATTTCTTCCATTTTCTCCCTCCTCCGGCATGCTTTCTCTGATTCCAATTGCAATTCCACCCTTTTCAGTCTCCATGAGGTTTCTTTCTTATGTGCTGCCAATGCACGATGCCCTTCTTCAAGTTCTCGACAAGAGTCCAAAAGTTCAGAAACCATCTGGTTCTCTCCAGCAAAAGGAGCAATTCCGAGAGATGGCAATATACTTGGAACGTGAGAGACAATATTAGGCCCTCTATCAGGCTGTAACCATGGAATCACGGGAGCAGGAGCAGGAGCCGGTGCCGGTGCTGGTGGCATTGTTGAGGATGAGAGACTTAAGGTCACTGATGGGGATGGTGGCCCTACAGTTGTGGTTGTGCTAGAACTAGCTAGCCATGGAGGAAGTGATGCCGGAGGAGGAGTGTGAGCATCAGCATGAATAAACCCCACATTTGAAGTAGCCATTACCATTCCTGGAACACTACGCTCTTTCACAAGCTTCTCAGCAAATGTCTCCAAAATGTGGTCGTATTTTCCCTCTTCAAGAGGATCTATAATCTTCTTGTTCTCCTTCTGTTCTCGTTGTTGTTTTTCTTTAAAAACTTCCCACCACTTCCCGAGCCTCTTGGCTGTTCGCCCTGGAACTTCAGCTGCAATTTTCTTCCACTTGTTTCCGTGCTTAGCCTGAAGATGGATAACAAGACGCTGCTCTTCTTCTGTGAGAGATCCTTTCTTGATGTCGGGTTTAAGATAGTTCTTCCACCTCTCCAAACAGGATTTAGCGTCCCTGTTTAGAGGTATGTTCATCCGCTCTGATACAAGGTGCCATTCTCTAGGGCCATATTGCTTCACATAAGCACGCAATAGAGAATCCTCGTCAGGTCGCCAACGCTGCCTTTCCTTCATTTGCCAGTGCAAACACCTCTACCCATAACCTCAAGCTCTTCATAATGCATCTGAAATATATAGGAGATTAAGCAGGTAAAAATAACTAAGGCGACACAGTTGTAGACTTATAGTCGAGTCCATGGTGCACAATTAACTACCACATAGAGCTACCAAAGAATTGTTAGCTGAATATGGCTGAATTTCCATCAACACAAGGATAAATGCATCAAACAGGGGATGCTATAAAAGGGGAGATAAAATCCACAAGATTTGAGAACCTAACCTACAAAAAACAAGTCAGATTTGTGCAACTGTATGGATTTGCAGGGAACTGCTAGCATAGAAAGAAATTGAAAAAAGGACGCCGTATCGTATTGTGATTGATTGCGCAAAAAAGTTTGCAACTTGGGGCATCGTTTTTCTCATAGCTTTAGCAAGCCATCATCTGAATTTACACTAATCAACTTGACCATCTAACGTATAAATAATGTCCAGGTTCATGAAGAATTTCAAGAATCAGTAAATAATAAGTTAAGAAAAATAGAAGTATCGAATGATTGAACGCATAATAATGGATTCAAGAGCTACTTTTTTCTAATATAATACACATGTATAGAACTAGTTACTGGCTATGAAATTGCACATTATAATGCACCAAGATGTACCGTTTTAGCAGTTCATTTCCATGTTCAAGATCGAAACCAAACTTCAAGGCCAAAAATTAACATGAAACGGGGAAAATCCACACACACAAAAAAAAGGAAATGTTGATAGAACTCATTAATTCTATTTTTCTGATCTTCAACCTTAACAAAACCAGGAGGGAAAAAATTGTAGAAAAGCTGACAATTTTGAAGATATATTGCTAAAGCGCACACATTTAGAAACAAGAAATTGACGGGGGGAAAAAGCTTACATTAAATTCAAGAAACTGAGTTTTCGCCACAGCCCATTTCTTATTTTCCAAGAAAATGCTAATGCAATCTGTGATTTGTGAACTAAGGTTTTTTCCTCCTAAAGGCCAAAACAGAAAAAATGTTGGGATCTGACAGAATAGGGCTGGAAAAGAAGAGGGTCACGCGAGTGTGTAAATGAGAGAGGGCTAAAAACCAAGATCAAAGAAAAGGAATGTGCTGACGTAGTATGGTGTTTCACACAATTATAGAAGTATGAGTTTTTTGTACGTATCTTGTATGTATATACAGCACAAGAAATTAATAATATGTTTGGACAATAATAAGGGCCTGTTTGGTACAGATTTTCATTTTCTACAGTAAATCAATTCTCATTTTTAACCACACATTCTTCAATAAAATAATAGTTTCCATCACATCAATACTTTNAAAAAAAAGGAAATGTTGATAGAACTCATGAATTCTATTTTTCTGATCTTCAACCTTAACAAAACCAGGAGGGAAAAAATTGTAGAAAAGCTGACAATTTTGAAGATATATTGCTAAAGCGCACACATTTAGAAACAAGAAATTGAAGGGGGGAAAAAAGCTTACATTAAATTCAAGAAACTGAGTTTTCGCCACAGCCCATTTCTTATTTTCCAAGAAAATGCTAATGCAATCTGTGATTTGTGAACTAAGGTTTTTTCCTCCTAAAGGCCAAAACAGAAAAAATAATGGGATCTGACAGAATAGGGCTGGAAAAGAAGAGGGTCACGCGAGTGTGTAAATGAGAGAGGGCGAAAAACTAAGATCAAAGAAAAGGAATGTGCTGACGTAGTATGGTTTTACACACAATTATAGAAGTATGAGTTTTTTGTACGTATCTTGTATGTATATACAGCATAAGAAATTAATAATATGTTTGGACAATAATAAGATGGATTTGTAAAGGTCTAGAGTAGAAAAGGTGTTTGGAGTCAACGGTTGGAAAAATCAAGAATGTGAGAATTGAGATGTTATATATAAATATGCAACTATCATCATCATCGTAGCAAAATGTGATATTTCACTGCTTGCTTTTTCTTTTCTCACTGTTTCATTTTCCCATTTTCTGCAAACTGTACATCGATGTGACTACACTACCACACCTTTCACCTTTCAGTGTCGACAACATTAGTACCAAGACTGTAACTTTGTGCTAAACCAATTCTCCAGTATATTCAGTTTCTACTTATGCTCGTCGCCCTGTAAATTTATTTTAAAGTTCCCAAGTTGATGTATCACAACTTACAAATCATCCTTTTGAGACAAACCCAAGAAAAAATTAGAGCGATTACTATCAAATTCATCATTTTTATGTAATTCTGAGACCAACCCACAAAAAATTGCATAACCCAAAAGCATTAGTCTTGCATAAAGATTCGTATTTTGAGCTTAAAACCTAGTAAAGTCTGTTAATTTGTAGGTATGACAGTCACTGGAAGGTGCAATACATTGATTAAAGATAGGGTTTGGTGTAGGATCTTTTGCAATCGTCATATTTCCAGTCATCATTATGAGGGGGTTCCCAAGAGCAGTACTGATGTTGGGCATGACCATGGTGGAGGGGCTTTTTTCTCTGGGGTAGGTTGGGTGGGTGGTGGGACTGTAGTCCGGGTTTCACGGCACAAAGAGACGAGTGTGATAGGGACTCGACCTTATTCTACCATAATCGCCCCACTCTTCAGCCCCTCTGTAAATTGTCAGTGATACGTTACGTCTGTTTTTTCCCTTGGCCATTGTTTTTTCCACACTAATTTTGAAAAATTCTGATGGCCTTTAAAAGTACACCAAAACATCTTTTACAGATGCGGGTTTTCTTGGGACCATTGTGGCTTCTGTTTTTTACCCTCCAAATAATCTCTTCTTTCTCCATATTCACCACAGTTTTTTGTATGATAAAAATCTGCATATTTATTTTGAATAGTGTGTCATATGTTATTGAGATCATTTTTGTGATTTTGTTCATTGCAGTATATGGTAGGAGCGTTAAATGGTGCACGGCAAAATTATCTAACTCTCGAAGTAGGAAAAAAGTCGATAAAGACGAACATGTCTCTATTTTTTTCGATATTTAATGATAGGATGACGTGAGGGAAGCATCTTTTAGTTTCTTGGTTTCTATGTTTCATCCTCTGCTTTGCTTAGAATTTCTTATCTATATTCATCCCTTGTATTTAAGAAAGTCTAAGCAGCAAATTCCTAATTTCTGTCTTTAAAGACTAATGTTGAAATTTCTTCATGCCACGTACATAGCTGCAGCCCCAACTCATTAGTCTGATTATCTACAATCACGCTACAATTCTATAATCTTTGACACAATGTCATATAACATTTTATGATTTGACCATTTAAAATGCAATCGACTTTTCTATCAAATTATCTACTTCCACGTAGGATTATGCTACTGCCTCTTGTAAAATTCATCTAGCAATCTGGCAAAATCGGATTATCTAATGGTGATGATAGATATTACAGTAAAGTCTATGTACAGGTAAATGCTGAAACAAGATTTGATGCAGGACAAAAATCATTTGGGCTCAATAAAGTGGGGGTATTTATGGAAATTCAAAATGTTGATTTTGACGCATCAAACTTATTGTAAAATTGAGGGAGATCTTCCCTAATCTCCAGTCTGAGCCCACCTCTTTCATAAAGCAAGGTTTTGTGGCAACCACAGAGGGAGACCCACCTTTTTAACTTTTTTGGTAGGAGAAAATAATTGAATTCAAGGCAACTTTTCACAAATAAATGAAACGAAATTAAGTTGGTTATTAAAATTGTACAATTCATCTTTATCAATTTAAAATATTCAAATTTTCGTTAAATTATCACCCGATCCTCATAAAAATACGTTTCGCATCGAATTTATAACATCAGAGAAGTTGAAAAAGGAAACATAACTTGATAAACTTATACACGTTGCAATAACATAAATATGCACGATTTTCATTGCTGAAACTAATTGTATAACTACAGTACAAAACTAGAGATCAACTTGTCGATCGTTTAATAAAATCTTTTGTAACTTCTTGTGAAATATTTATCTCATTTAAATCATTCAAAACAATCACAATGTATGTTAATATACAAAGTTAAACTAAATAGTTTATTAAAAACTATAAATCTATAATATAGTAATAGGACAAATTAAATTGAAAAATAGGGTACTAGAAAATACTGTAGGTTAATATAGGGATCTGTTAAGAAAGTCAGTCTGTGGATTAAGGTGACCCCAACTTGGTTTGGCATTGGGAAACATGTATACTGCCTTTCAACAGTCCTGTTCTCACATTTTATTTGAACTCTAATTTACACTTGATGACAACTAAGGCTGAGACCCTAGTATCAGTAGATCCCAAAAATAATTATAACCAACCTAGGACAGGTCAATAAATGACCTTCCCCATGAGTTCCACGGTCTAGTTACGGGACAACCTGCTCAGTTTGAAATGGCAGGAAAATAAACTGAAGAAGTTGGAGAAATTAGATCAAATCAGCTGATGAAGATGCTTTGTAATGACTTCAAAATAACTATGTTGCCTTCAGTGGTACACACGGTTGGCAAACAGAACTTCGGGATACAATGAAATTTGAATTTGGTATTGCATCGTGCACTAACGAGGAAAATCCCAAACACAAAGGAGAGAAGAAACCAATATGGAGAGAGAGGCTTGTGTTTTGTATTTTCGAAGTAGAAAACACGAGCAAAACTTTGAAAAAAAATGAATGCAAGATGCAAGAAAAATATAATTTTCTGAAGGAAGATAACGAGAATTATATCATTTCATCTACTTGCATTATATCACCTATGGAACCAACAATCTTATTTATAAATTGTAAAATTATAACACTTTCCAAAGAGCTATAATCCTTCACAAGAGACACAATTATTCATATAGTTAGTTACATAACAGATCACGTATGAAAAACGTACCCAAAACATGAACATGTTGTCCAAACACGGCATTATTTGGAAATTTTCCAACAATCCTCTTCCATTAAAAATGGAGTTCTGAAAAATCTCTTCAAACTGCTTCACCTAACTTATGCATCATGAAGGTGTCTTTAGACTTGAACCTC